TGTGGCACTTCTTGATCATGGGAAAAAGAAGAGAAAAAAGACAAAAAATATAGTGAAAAATCTCAAATATGTGCGTATCGTGTTCTGATATTATGCATGTCTATATGGCGTTGACAGAATAAGAAAAGAGCATCTAGTTTGTGATAACTCATCCGTACACTATTTTCGCTGAAAACCAGCTGTTACAATGGTAGATCTCTGATGAACTTTGTTTTTTAATTGTCCAGAGCGCTCATTCGTCGATGAAAGTCTATGCTGTATGCTGAGTAATGTTACTAGTTAGCGTTATTGTTTCAAGGTTACTAGCTAACCAGACTCATGTTTCACCTGTGTGGTATATATGCAATCAAAATCTTTCAAAATGAAGAAAAAAGACAAGGAAAGCACGTGGACATGATATTAGTCAAAAGAATGCGAATCCTCTATGCATATTAGGTGATTCCAGTGCTTAGTGAATGAATTGCTGAAAGCATGAGATCCATCTTCGCAGACTCAGGTATCTATGTTCGCGCGACTCTTCTCACTGAAGAGAAAAGTTGTAGCCGGTCAATCAAATGACGCTATTATTCTGTGGGATTCCATTATGTATCTTGTTAACGGATGTAAAAGTCTTTGTCATATTGTCCACATTCATGAAAATGAGTTTAATAATGAATTTTCCGTCGAAGTGAGTGGAAGTGGTATATGTAATATCGTGGTTTGGATGTGGGCTTGAGGTTCTGGTTAGAAATTATTTACTAACTTTTAAGAAATGAATCACTTCAACGACGGCGAAATGATGTCTCATATTGGTTTCTGGCATTTCTCTCTCTCCTCCCCTATGTTGCTTTTTTTCCTCTGATTGAAATTGCCATGCATCATAAAAGGTAAAAAAAAGTTCGATGTTTCCTTGTTTTTTATCATAATAGGTAATATAACTATATGATTGCCAGCTCGTGCATGCTCTGAATGATAAAAAAACAAATATCAAAGATTAAGTATGTACACAGAGAGGTATTCAAAATAAGTAACAAAACACGTAAAGCATTTTCGGAGTGAGGAAATGTGTTTCACCTTGAAAAAGAAAAACTCTCAATTCATATATGACTTTTTCTCTTTATTTCTCTTGCTTATTAATGGTCTTCGAGATATTCAACTGTTATATGCTATGCATCCAAGAATTCAAGAAATCGCTGAATAACTACGCGATACACATTTTTTAAGAGGTTACGATATTAGCAGCAGATGATCTATTTGGAAAGTTGATGTTACTTTTGAAGGTATATCAGATATTGAGAAAAACAGTTTGTCTGATATTTCATTGTAAAAGCAGGTATAAAAAACTATCACTGTACACAGACGATTTGAAATATCATTCATTTATCATTTGTACAATTCACCACTGATAGTATTTTTTCGTCGAAACAAGTCCAGTTTGAATTTTGTTCATTTAAACTCGAAGGTAATAAACGTGAGTAGAAGAACCACGTGTAGATGTTTAAAACAAATACAAATAATAAAAACATTGCAAATACGAGACGATTATAAATATGAATTGCATATAGACTCTCTTTATCTTTTGAAATAGATGTCATAGTGTTCTTTGATGATTTCAGTCTTGAACCTTTTCGTTGTGTTGATTGACCACTGACGGTATTATCACATGGACCATTTGGTCGATGACGAATAAATTCATGTGTCGTAGGTACTGTACCACGTCGAATCCAAATTGTTGTTTCATTTTGTAGATCGACTGGTGTTAAGCTTCGTCGTCTTCGCCCATTGATGGTTGTTGATGTTCGTTGAGACGATGCAGGTTCATTTTGTTCCGAAAGAAATGTTTGAGATTTTGGCAATATAATTAGTTTTGGAAATTGATGATGATTTTGGATAGAATCTGTTTCTGAATAAAAACTGTTTGAATATTCAACAATATTTGCATTGTTATTCTGTGTTATCAATAAAGGAGAATGTTGTGATGGTAATGGTCGTGTAGTTGTGCGCGATGTTGATTGTGGTGATAAACGTGTCGCTTTTCGATGCATGTTTGTTGCACAAACAACATAAGCCAAATAGTCTAATGCTAACCATCGTATCCAGTATGGTAAACGTTTTTTTTCACGTAATTTATTTGTAAAAGCAAACCATGTCATGGCCAAGAGAGAATAACACATGCACACCGTTAAATATAAACTAATCAAATGAACAGAATCACTCTGAGATGGAACATCTTCACTAAGACGTAAACTAAACACCGAATAAGCTAACATAATACTAATGCCTAAAATCAGAAAGAAAATTATTGGAACAAAGGTGTGATGAGTAGCCGAGTAAACAAAAAAAAATCATCATTTAACTGAGATTTTTATTTTCCCCGACTTTATTCTTTTAAATATGTAAATAGTATCAAAACTGATAGAAAAATATACCAAACAGGCAAAATGCCATGTATTTAGCCTAAAATAAGCTATCTTTTCTACAGTGCCTGTCCACTAAGCTCTTCCACTTTTCACCTAAAACAAACTCTCCTATAAGAAATTCCTAAGAGGAAACAACTACTTTATAAAACGTCATTTCGAAATACAAGCCTAACGTTATTTATTTCATTATGACTTTACCTATCTGCATTTCTTGTGCGAATGGAATAAAAAATGATACTAATGTTAAAATTGTTAACATTAAAGCTGGTACAACAGTATTATAAATTGCTTGCAATGGTTTTCGTCGAATTAAAACTGTAAAATTAATTTCATAAAACGGATCCTTTTCAATCCAGTTTGCGAATTCTTGTTCTTTTATTGTTTGTTTCACAGCGAGTAATTTCCATTCATTATTCGGTGCATAATCAGGAAGCTGAAACAGATAAACATACAGTACTATACTATGTTTTATTTTCTTAGAAATATAATATTCACTTCTGGATGTTCTTCCCAAAATCTAAATAAAAACAAATCTAAAATTATTATTCGAAAATAAAACAACATAGTAGTGGAATATTATTACTTGTATTGAATTAATTTTTTTGTATGACTCCATGATCCAAATACCATTTCACACGATTGTTCATCGAATGGAAAATGTTTGATGCCCATTCGACATCTTGTTCTTAAATGTGCCAGAGGCATTGGCCATACAACGATACCATTGTTATTAATAACCATATTTTGTGATTCTTGTGGTATTAAATATCCCGTATTATCAGCTGTATTATACAAAAATGTATCCGGATACCATAACATTGATGCGGGTATTCTTAACAATGTTATATTATCATATTCTGCTTGATTCCACATTAAACGTGAATCCTTCCACTTTTGATCAACAAATACGTTTGATACCATAATTTGTTCTTTTTCAATCATATTAATTATTTGATTGAATATTAGACGAAAATCGACAATAACAATACCGTTTGGACGAACTTTTTTCGAATAATTAGTGTCACTTAGCAGTGTTCGAATTAATTTTTCTTCATGATAACTAGCAGTCAATATTGAAATAAAACAATTTTCAAATAAAAATAAAATTAGACCAGCATTACGCATTCTCTTTCATCTATAGTCAAACAATGGACTAAAACGAGAAAATGTAAATAGATAATTTTTAATTAAGAATTGAATGTTCAGTCAAGATTACACAATTTTTTTGTTAAGACATGCTTATAAGAGAAAAAAGCTGTTTTATTAACGTTTTGATCATATCGGGTATTTCCTTACGAATATGACAGCAGTACTGTCTACTATATTCTCAATTTTTCATTGTGAACAATAATTTAACATATTTCTTCACATTAAATGATAGAATTATGGTCATTTTGATTATTCACAGTTTGAATACTTAGCCATTCTCAATTTTTACTCTATCTGTTTGAAATACTATAACTGAGAATTGAGAATTATGTTAATTTATAATTCATAACAGAAAATTGTAGACATAGAGGAGTACCACTCTATTACTAACCTGAATATATGATAAAAAAGGTGAAAAAGTTCGTACTTTTTACTTATTCAAACTTAAAACAAAAAAAAGGAAAATGATTCTTAATTTAGCAGACGATCGTAAATAGAAATCAGAAATCTTATTTCTTTCCTAAAAAGAATAAATATGATTTTCAAATAAAAATGGTGGAAAAACAACGGAAATGAAATAGAACATAGCATGTTAGTGATTTTATAACTATCAATAAAAAACCCTATAAATTTTATATAATTTTCTTCCGGTAGAAATACAACAATTTACAAATACGACGAAAAATGTCTATAGAGATGAAAAATTAGATTGTTGTCATTGCTAAATATCAACAATAAAAACCTATTATCAGTTATCAAGACATTATTATAACAAAAGATCAACAAATATGGATGTGATGTATGGTCCTTGAAGAATGAGAGAAGATACAAAATTATTGAAGTGTACAATGAGCCAAAATCCAAAGATGAACTTTTTTATAATTGATAGTATAGGATATATCCTGAGAGATAAGGGTTTTATTTTGACAACACAATAGAGTATAAATAGTAGTCATTTTCATCGATAGAAACTGTTAAATGGCAACGCTATACGGGTTTTTCAACGTATTGGGGACTTACTGAAAGCATTAGTGATATTCTACATCTAAAAATCTGTTTTATATATATATATGTGTTTTATCAAACGTAAATCAGTTTATTGATGTTTTTTGCACACTAAATTCTATTACGTATTTAATATGCGTGATACTGATTGCTAAAAATACAAGTATATTCACGAAAGACAAACACTATATATATATGCTGAAGTGTCATAATTTAAATCTGATCACATTAGTTCGAAATGTCGATGATAAATAAAGCTATTGGATAATAGTAAAAATTAGACTCGAGGGTTAATTTTAAGAAAACGATAATAATGATGTTGATGCTATATTTTTATCTAAAAAAAAAAAGAATTTTTTTTTATTTTCTTTCAACAATCTGAGAACGTCAAAAATGTCATAACACAGAACAAGAATATATATATATATATATAAATGAATTGTAGATGTATATTTTTTTTTTTTCATTTTTTATTCTGTATTTTTTTGCTTGTTACTCTAAATAAGATGAAATCACTATTAATAATTATTTCCTTCCTTGTGTAATATATCGCGCGCGTATCGAACACATATAAACAATTTCATGCAAATTGTTTATCATATGAATACATGAGTAATCGAAAGAAATAATAGATATATAAACAAACAAACACTATGTCATCGTTTGATGCCATTTAAGTTGACTGTGTTATCAATAAAAAAGATTCATCTGTTTTTAATTTGTTAGGCTTGTAAAAATACTGTTTCCAACAGTGGCCAACATAACGCCTATCCATTGTGCATAAGAAATTCTATAGCAACAGTAAATCATTCTTCTCTCTCTCTCTTCCACTCTCTTGTATAGTATGTAACAGAGATGTTGAATTAAAATGTTCTAACTAATATCTTGGTGAACTATTGATATTACCCTAGCAAGAAACCTATACCTTTCTTGACAGAATCTTAGAGAAATCCTACCAGGATCCTTTCACCAATTCGTTTGCTTTTAAGTAGGACCCGAGTAAAATCTTAATGAATCCTAATAAAATTCGAGATACTCGAAAGCCATAAGATTCGCTAGGTTTCTGTTAGAATTTAGAACAGAATTCTAATAAGAAAATGCAATCATTCACTGTTAGACCAAATTCTGTACACTTCCTACTTGTTTTCTGTTACAATGCTAACGTTAAAATCCTATAAGATCATAGTAGGAAATAGATAGGAAGTGCGTAGGATTTTGTCTAGGGTACACTTCTCTTTTTATATAAAATGTTTCATAGCTAGGAAGAATTTTCTCTCTTATCTATAACATACAAAGAAAAGTATCACGTAACGTTAAAATTATGATGTTTAAATAATGCTGTTAATACACATTCTTCATGTGATTTTAATAAGACAACACTTGAACTGTTATAAAAATTTTATTACAAACATCACATATCTTTTATAACAGTGTTAAACCAATATTAAAGACTAAAAACAAATTTTTTGAAGACTTACTATAAATAGGATATTAAGATCTTGATGCTTTAAACTGTAAAAATAATATAAACCATAAAAAAAAAAAAAATTTATTTAGTCTATGACTCTGGTGATATTATTTTATCAATTTGTCAAATTATTCGAGAGATGATAATTTATTTGTTAGCTATTTCTAGATTTAAATAGAAAAATTATAGTTTTGCTTACCCTTATTTTGTCAATTGAATTTGACTAATCATTATTATAATAATTTAATATTTCTCAAACTTATTATTTGATAAGGATAAATAATAAATTTCTCATACATTACATATAATCTTTTAAAGATCGTATATTTGTACAGTAAAATTGAACAACAAGATTAAAATATTTATTCAATGTAATAAGTTTTCTCAACTTTTTTAAGCAATAGAATTTGACTCTATCGGAAAAATATTTTCTATTTTGTTCATTTTTTGCGACGACAATACTAAGAAATAAGCCATAACAATAATAATGATAATATTGCGTGCAACAATAACACAAGAAAAAAAAGAAAAATTATTCTAATGTCAATTAAAAGTGTTAGTACATTTTGTTTTGTCATATGAAAGGAAGTAAAACATGAATCGATTTCTGTTTAAATACCCACAATTCTTATATATTATTTTTAACAGAGTTTTCTTCTTTTCTTTTTTTTTTATATTGTAAGAGACAAAAATTAATAAAGAAAAAGTATAAACGAACGGTACATACTTTGTGAGTAATTAGTTGCCGACAACGATGAGACAATTAGAGAAAACATGAAATCAAAATCTTTGTTTTTTTATACATTGGCATTTTTACCTAAGGAAATATAAAATAAAATATCATGCATATTAATGACTTTTAATAATTTAGATATATAGTCTAATATTGATATTTATCCACTAACAATGTATATTCGTATTTATAAATATACATGATGAATAAAAGTGTGTCAACTACAATCGATAGATCCACATTAGGAACATCATCCATGAGTTAAAGGTTTAATATTATGTACAAATTAACTACGTTTCATTTTGTTTTTGTTTTTATCCTAAGTAAAAGAGCGTTCTTTCACCACAGCGGGATTTCACATTTATAGTCGATAATGATTGATAGTTCCAGAAATAGAAAAAATCTATATCTGTATCATAATGAACAAAAGCAAATGTCAAATAATATAACATGATTAAGAATGATTTACAATTTTCTTTTCGCTTTTCAATTCTCATTTTTTATATATTATACTACCATTATTATTATTATTACTATTATCGTTATTGTGTTCTTCTTTTAAAGAATAAAGAATGGCAACAAAAAAGGTGAAATTGTCATCATCTTTTATCCCAAATCAACCATTTTATATTAAATGGTTTAACTGACTCCATATATCACTTAAAGAACAAAATAATTTTTTGTTTGCAAATTATCTTACAATAATTCACTAGTTGATATCTTACTATTTCAAAACATCCAAAATACTATGGATAATAGACTATAGTTTTAGTCTTAATAAGAAATAACAATATATATGAAGAGATTACTGATTTTTTAATTAGCTTCATAATTATTTCGATATTGTTCACATTTTTATCTCTGTTTTTCGATGATTTTTAATCCGAAGATAAACGAATTATGTTTGTATGCGAGGAACAACCACAGCTATATTTTACAAAGATATCCTTTTTTTGTTTCTGCCATTTGATATACTCATCAACTCTATTTATGTCATGAACTTCAGAAGAAAGAGAAATGTTTTTATCTGATCTATTATCATAGCCCCTACAGAAGTGACATGTTTTTACTTTAACAATTAGCCCAGATACATAAAAAATAGCCAAGAGATCATTTTTATTTAAAGTTACGAATGAAAAGTACAGATCAGTAAACTAGAAGATTAGTTTCATCAATCTACAACACATTTACCAAACGTTTTTTTAAAATTTTCCTTTCTAAGGTTCAGTCTATCCTGATTTAATCTATCATGCGTTACTCTAAGTCTCTGAATTTCATATCGTAAATACTGTGCACATTATGATTATTTAGGCTCAATAATTTTCTCTTTCTTTTGTATAATCTAGTGGCGCAACTACGGCATGGGTAGCACTGAGTCATTGTTAAATGGGGTGTAGGTCTTTATACTACAGAAACAATATTTTTGAATGTTTGGCCCCGAGCTCTTGTGTCATTTCGATTCTAGCCAAAATGTTTCTTGAACAAGAGCTAATGTGAAAGAAAAACAAAAATTTCGATTTTTGGATCCAGAGTTTCTCTATCGATTCTTGTTTAATAAAATCATCTCATTGAAAGATCAGATTTTTCTAAGAAATCGCGAAATTTTTCGATTTTCAGGTTGCTTAAAAACATTTTCGAGTCCGTTTTGGATTTGGCTGAATCTGTGATCGAATTTGAATACCCAAACCTTCTGTTGCAATACTATGTTTTTTCTGCAAAGACAAACTATGAAATAAGAAACTGATATTCGACGAAAAAACTCGAGATCCAAAAAGAAACCATTCGACCTACCTAGACCCAACGGTTTCTCGTAGCTTTCTAGCATTAAAAATATTCCAGCCTACATCAATTATAACGACTTGTAAATTAATTGACCCCATGATATCAGTCGCATTACTACTGCACTTTGCCCATTAGGTAAACGGTATTAACTGCCAAATATCAGGATTATTATAAAGTTGTGATGATATTAGACGAGAAAATTTTTATTTATGGCTACCTTCGAATGTTCTAACACCAGTACATCGGTTAATTGAACCAATGTCACATTGAATTCAACCAAATGTAAAGGCAATACACTGGCAATGACCGCTACTGTAACACTTACTATCAAACATCATTCTGTTAAGCAAGATTTAAATCTATGCTATATGAAACAATTAGATGTGAAGAGAATATTACAATTCAATTGTTTACATTAATAGTTGATCAAGTGAAAATGTGTTATTTGTAAATGTTTCTGTTCTTAGCAGGGCCGTAGCCAGAAATTTGGTAAGAGGTGGGCATCTAGAAAAAAACTCCATCTTTACTAGTCTGAATTTCCATGTTAAAGCTAGGTCGAGCACTTTTTCTTGCGTTTTATCTCCACACGACATTTATCACCTATAAATTTAGTGTATATTATACATTGAAGTGAAATCTCAAGGGGTGGGTTTGCCTACCCCCTGGCTACGGCCCTGGTTCTTGGTATTATTGCACCTTCGAGTCTTCAGTCTGGAATATTGTGTTGTAGCTACCGAAATGAAGAAAAAGGAAAAGTGATTAGAATTTTTACCACCTATTATATTCCGAAATAAAAGTGCTGAATGATAGACGAAATTCGCACATGCGGCCAAATATAGTGTGGCGGGCAAAGTCATGTATGTATGATATGAACACCTGAAAAAAGGCAAATCTTTTTTTTATCTGCATGAGAACAACCCTTAGCTTATTCTTCAGATGCAATTAGTAGCCGATACATACAAGTTTCAAAGTACACAGTTTTTTCAGATGATCATTGTTTATCGACAGTCAATCTCAACTAAACTATTTACCATTCATTATTAGTAAAGAATTACAATTAAAAGATGGAACTTGTAGGAGAATGAAGGTATATAGGTTCTGGCCGAAAATTTACGAAGTGATTTGTTCTAACGTTGTAACGTAAATAAAGAAGGAAGTTTTACCATATTTTATCGAAGTTTCAACTGAAAAAAGTGATTTCTGATTATAAAAAAAGTTTCCACTTTTAGTTTTCTGCTTCCTGAATAATGCTATTTTGTTGCTGCGTACAAAAGTGAGCTTTGTTAGAATGAAAATCCTAAAATTCGAAATGAAAGTATAAACAACTCACCATTTGAACGATCTCAACCATGATCGAGCAAGGTATGTGCCGATTATTAAAAAGCCCTGTATGCTAGAGTGTACAAATCAAAAACATAAATTCTTATACCATCTCCTCTTTTCTCCATGACTATTGAGTATCGCCCTTCGAAAAGCATAAAACTTTAGGCGATCTAAAAATAATGATTACTTTTGAAATACACATCGGTTTGAGCTGAAATATTCAGATATTTTCCAATTATACTGCAACTCTATATTCTGTAGATTTTAGCCAAATTTGTGTTGTTTTTAGACAAATAGTTTAGAGAGAAAAAAAATTGTTCAGCTCAAACTGACAGATGATAAAAACTATGGAATAGTAATGTATTATTGAGAGAAAAGTATTGGACAATGTTTTATCAAACATAGTAGCCATTGAAGACTGACCTTATCTAAAATTTGATTGATTATTTTGTTATATACGAGGATTTATCTATTTCAGATAAGGATTACCAGCGTTTTATTGTTTTGATACCTTATATCTTCCAGCATAATTCAAATCATTAATAATGGATATCTGTTGTCTATTACAAACGATTATTACACAGTTAAGAATACACCGTTTTATGCGATTATCACTTGTTTATCTGACTCAGATAGTCAATTGCATAGATAAGGTCCGCCAGATATTTGGTTTATACCCAAGGTACAGAATCTACCCATGAGATTGAAAAATTTCCCTCGACAGAAAAAGTTTTTTCAAAAACTTCCCCAACATAATCCACGAACAAACTTTCTTTTGTAGTATATTTCCAAAAGATGTTTCAATTTTTCCCTAAATCAATATAATTTTCCGACGACGATCGTCGGAGCAAACAGGCAGATTCTGCAGCTCTGATTGATACTTTTACCTTAACCTGTATTTTTGCACAAGAACTTTGCAAAAGCTACGTTTTTCGTTATCCTCTCATAATTCATACAGATGATTTGTATAGTGGCAAAAGGATATATAACTGAACATTAGGACCGTTATAAACATCAAGATCAAAAAAAAACCCTTGAAAGAGAACTATCTAATAAAAATTTATAACTTATTCATAATTAGTCAAAAAATACACCCTTTTACTGCACGTTGTAAAACGGACAGAAATTTTTTTATCGTGTTTAGTTTTGTTTCCGTTAGCTGTCGGAAAATTGTTCTAGAAAATTATCTTAATGAGCCAATTTATTTGAGTAGTGCTCTAAATGTTTAAAATTAGTGTTAATATTAACTCAGAATTCACTAATTTTGAATGATCTATGAATTACTTGTTGTTGCGTATAGACTGCAATCGTTTATTTTCTTTGTAACAACTCTTGATTAGGCTTTTCTGTTTTTCTCACGAATCAAACACCACCATGATGTGCAACCGGTTAAAAACCTGTCTTTCTATCTATTTCTAAACTTCCTAAGCTCTAAAATATCTACTCTTAATGCTCCTCATAAAATTGATGCCACATTCACCGTAACAGCCTTCTTATATTTCTAATTAACGATACTAAAAAAAATAAGTTCATTTTTGCCTTTATTCAAAAATACATTAAAAAATTGCATATATAAAGCACACGATTATGTTTCTAATTTCCCACCAGTTTGTGAGAGATGTTTAACAATATCAACCCAATTCCAACCTCTAGGTTTTTGTCCATCTTCGCCCACTATATTTTTATCCCATTGTCGTCTTTTTTGCGCTTTACTCAATTGTTCTTTTTTTATTGTTGGATTCGGTTCGGTTTTTACTGCTGAGTTTGATGTAGATATGGTGTTAGCATTCACCTGAACAGAAGAGTAATTGTAAGTCATTTCATTTCATTATTTAAAGAAAAAAAAAGTGAAACATCTTTTTCGTACCATACTGGTTTGAAACATATCACCATCAAATTGAAATTCTTTTACCATTTCAAATAATGTATACGTCATTGGTGTTCCGATAAGTTCGCTGGCCTAAATGAGATGGTAATTTAGTAGAAAGATAACTATATTGTTGTATCAAGATTATGAAAACTGTTAGAAACAGACATAACTTGACCAGAAATGTGTACGAAATTAGAAGGAAAAATTTAAAAACAAAAATATATTAAACATACTTCTCTTAGCAGTTTTTCTTTCAATTTTGTTTTGAATTCATTTGTACTAAAACGGAGAAATATATATTTTCAGTTTAACAAACTCATAACAAGGACAAATATTGATTCTCGGCTCCGGGTAGTTGTTTTTCTAGATAAATACTTAACATAAACTCGTAATTCCCTTAATGAATTTGTAGGATGTGGAAAGAAAGATTGAAAGTTTTGCTAAAGTAGAACGTATGTAACAGAGATATTCTTATTTACATACTCATTATTTACTATGAAACAGTAACGTCGTGGAAATTTAATTAATTCAGTGTACGCAAGAAATCATCTCAAGTCCATTACATGGAGCAATAAAAACTCAATTCAGATTATTCTCGCGCTAAAATCGACCAAAACTTCTTACAGCATTCGATTACTGAATAAATCAAGATTTATATTTGGAATAATATTTGGATAATCATTTGGCCATTGAATTTCAACAAGATAAAATTGTGTATCATTCAATACAAACTAAAGAAGACAAAAGACAGCAGGATCTCAAACATGAATAGAAGTTAAACCGATTTACGTTCGTTTTTTAAACATACGTCCTCGTTCTCACTTTGTACTGGTATGTTGTATCATTTACAGCCGAAAAATTTGTGTCACCATCGTAAATCGATGTGAGTACTTCACGCTCCTCCTAGAAACAATAAAAAGTTTCAAAGTATATTATTATAGCACCGACCGAAGTGCAAAAACTATAAGTATCACTAGATTTTCAGTGAATTAACTCCTGTTCAATGAAAGGGCCTTGAGGATAACATTCAATGGACTCCTTTTTCTTACCTCGTTCATATGAGAGGTTGTCCAGATAGATGAACAGAAAAAGGATTTTCTAGAAGTAAAGATCAATAGCTTAAGAAGAGACTGTTGAACTACGTGTTTTAGTTCAAGAAGGAGCGATTGCAATTGGATGTAACTATCCTCTCTTGGCACTAATAAAAACGCTGACAGTCGAATGCTTTATTTATTATAATTATATTACAGCACATTATTTGAATGATAGCGCTATTCTTTCTCATGGCATTATACGACTTCATCATCCTGCCCATGAAAAACGAAAATGAACTCACATTCCTTTTCGACATATGCACAACTTTTAGAATTGCACAGATGCGTCGCTGTTATCGGAGTGTTAACGAGTTTTGATTGGCTTCCTTAAGTACACCTACCACTGCTAAATGAAGTCAAATTATTGTTATTATTGTCTTTTTCTATATTGTTTACTTTTCCTTATTTTTATGTTAGAAATTAATTGTGCCGAAACAAATTAGAGAAAAATTATGCTGTTGTTGGTTTTATTAACATTTTTTGTTTCTACTGCGATCGCTTAACCAATGATTAGACTTGTTTGTTCGATCAGGGGCCTGTTTCTTAAAAAAACTTAAGTAGAAAATCTGACTTAAGTCAAACTTAAGTCCAAAAAAGTCTTTGTCTTTTTTGACTTAAGTAGGAGTTTCTACTTAAGTTTTTTAAAGAAACAGGCCCCAGCAGAGCCACAACATATTTTAGAAGAGAATTGTTTATATAAAATTAGACGAGAAACGTTGTAAAATCAAGTCCACCATGTTCTTTTTTCAATGTGTTAATGTTATAAGATGTGTTATTGATGTTTCCTGAGAAATTTTACACACGACAAGCAATATCACTGTATCGTCGTTTTATTGACACTTTCATGCTTTAGCATCGCAAAGTAGAACAAATCAGATAGTTATGTGCAAACAGTTCTTTAGTGCGGATGCTGTTATTTTTTTCCTGTACTAGTATTTGTATCGTAAAGGTAATGCAAAATGCAAAAATTCCAAAGGATACAGATATTATTGAGGAAGAAATTCATGCAACGGATTAACATATGAGGTAAGAAAAAATACAGGCCTGCATTTACGGCCCTGCAGTCATTCCTTATGGACGTGCAGATAACAGTAGCACCTCGAAGTGTTCACTCTCTTCTAAAATTTAACAAGACAAATGCAGCAACCAACAATAAGAATGTGCTACATAACCACTTTTTCTCACGGCAAAACTGTGGCATTCTACGTTATCTTGGAGAATACCAGATAGAAAACGTTTCATATGGCTGTACAGAACGGACGAAACATGTAACTGGAAAAGTGTGACATTACTTCCATTCCAATGGTTGATTTTAAATAATGAAGAATGATATAATGTGAAATCTAGTTTTTCGGATATATTCAAGTGTAACTTTAACTTGAAAAAGCGTTGAGAAGACATTTACTAAGTTAAACGCAAAGTGTTAAAGTTGACACTAAAAGTGTACTAAAAGTGTAAAAGTTTAAACCAACGAAAAGTGGAACATCATGTTTTGATATGCCATGCTCTCTAAAAGAAAATGTATCCAAACAAGGGTATTTCAATCCTGGGAAACCAAAATTGGTTTCTATTAGTGGCAGATGCAAATACCCTCTTCTTGAAATACCCTTTTTTGGGTTATAGTGCATCTTTCTTTTTAGCGAGTGTTTTCTCTGAAACTTTAACGCAGCTTTTTTCTATTCTAATCTATTTTCATTGATACAGTAACACCTGTAAAAGCGAGCAGCCCTACAGCATTTACTACAGAGTTTTATAGTAAATGCATGAATAAAAAAGAAAATAAACGGGGTCAAAAAAAAAATTTAAGCGAGAAAGAGAAGAACGAGAAATATAGATACAGTGCAATCTGTTTATCTATATACCGTTTTTCTTAGAACGAAATATACACAGCTCGAAAACGACCAGGTCTAGTTATGAATGTCACAACCGCTTGTATAATCTTTTCAGCAGTGTTCTTCTCCAGTTCTATCCGTAGGAGAAGGGTTTTTATATCCAGCTGGACAGTTGATGCTTCATTCATAAGAAATATAATAAATTTTTGTTGAGCTTACCAGCGCAAAAGTGGCAACCGTTTCTCTTAACTAACATATTAAAGACTATTTGCCTTCTCATCAAAACTATTACTATCCAACTGCGATTATCCCATTCAGCATCAACAATATTTAATATCAGCATCTCGGTTCTCGATACAGAGCATGTTTTGTTGTAGCGCCTGTTTGATGAGAATAGACACTGCTCAAATCTCTGTACCTGAAATGTTAATTGTGTTTCTAGTTGCAGAGTATAGAGTATTGTATCTCAAAACCTTACTTTTCTATTACACTATATATGATAAAATGTGTGACTATCGTGTGCCTTTTCGTTTTTCAGCAGCACATATTCATTGAATGAAACTTTTGAATTCAAACAAAAACAAAATAGAATTAAGTTTTCTTTCAAACAAGTTCTACTACTGAGATATTCATTATGTCGTACTATAGTTGGTACGTAATAAATATCTAACTAATCGAGCTTATGCGTAAAACATGGAATTTATTGTGTTTTTGCACATATTTTAATTCATCGGTATTTTTGTGTGATATCGCATAAGTACATGAAGTGGGAGCCATTCGAAAAAGTACGCGGTATCTAGCGATACTTATAGAGATAAATTACCCTAAGAGGATCAGAGCCGGTTTCTCACCATTAGATAAGTTCATTAGAGGTCTAGGGTATCACAAATTAAAACAATCAGAACTAAAAAAGATCTGAAAAAAAATCCACGATGTTGACAAAAATATTTTCTGATCACTTAATTTCACCCTATATGTACACAATAAATTGACACCTCAACAATAAAAGAGAGTGACTTATTAACGATCAGTCTCATCGTTTTCTCACAGAAGTTATCTATGAGTTTCTTTTTATGTTTCATTTCAGAAATGAGCCAACAATTAAGTCTAAATTCATACTGAAGAGTACAGAGTATGGCACTTAAAACATTAAGTTCCAGAAATAAGACATGTGTCAAAATCCAAATATACAAGACTCTGTTGACGATTTTTTAAAGTGCCGAAAATGGATGGTTGAAACAATGAGACCTAATGATTTGAATTCACATGGTAAGCTCATTTATCTATTCGTGCATGTGTCCTGGTAATCTGAGGAGAAGAGTACAATATTTGACTTGAATCTTCATGTTACATTTCGTTGGACATCATCGATATTAAATAGTCATTTTTGTAACCAGTTTTGCTTGTCAAGTCACCTTTGAGGGAGATATTGAATTTATCAAATGGAATGAAAGTCAGATGAACTTCATTTCTAATTTGTGTTAAATAGGATTGAAAAAACAAATGCATCTGATGATTATAATCACATTTGTTCACTGAATTATTCTACTATTTTATTTTTAGATGTTAACAGGCGAATACGATCGAAAAAACATTCATGGTAAGAAATTTTAAGTAAAAAGCGAAGCCTTTTTATACGATTAATAATGAGAAAGTACAATTACAATTTATTGCAAATCTAAGTTCACACATTCAGATTCATATGTGTACAAAATTGATTTTGCACTATATGTTGCCTTGTAGAATAATGGACTTATTTCCGTTTGTATTCTAGACATAAAATAAAGCTTAAATGAAATTTAAGTTTTTTTAACTTGTATAAAACTGAAGTACTCAAGTATTTTTTTATTTAGAACTACATCAGATAGAACTCTTGGAAAGTTTGTTATTCTCAATCCTTTTTTTTTTTTTTTTGGTAACTTACACTATCTTTTTTTTATTACCTTATTATTATAGTGTCTTATTTCTCACTAACAGGATTTAATTGCTCATATTATTAGTAGTGAAAAATTAGAAGATTAATACCTAGTGCAATAAATCTTAATTTTTTCTGATTTATACATTTTTTACAACATAAATAATTTCACATTTATTGCAATATAATCTAACAATATGAATATATTCTGTTTTTTGGATAGTGCACAGAATGACATATTTATACGGTGTACGTGCATCTATTTTTTTTATTCATTAATCTTGATCTGTTGAATGAATATAATGTATCAATGAAATAACTTACTCTACACGTATTTTATATGATAATTCTTATTTTTAGACAGATCGATAAAAACTGGTAGTAAGTACTTTTATCATTTCTTTTTGTTTAATATACAAAAAAAAAAATAAAAAACTAAGAGAACAAGTTATTCAGATCAAAATTTTCGTTTTTTATCTTAGTCACAAAAGAATAAAACATTCTATTATTTTACCTTCTTGCTCTCCCCCTTTTCATTCACAGTATTTATATCGTTTCGCTAAATTAATGACAGATAAAACAAAAGAAGAAGATGATATATACTTCAATTATCTACTGAAAAATTATATTTGAACATTTTTCTAAAACTAGAATACAACTATCTAACGTAAATGTAAGTTCTTTGTTCACTTCTACGATCTTAACATTAGAACGCCATTTTGACCGTTTTTTGATTTTTAACCCTAATGAAACAAACTGCATACAAAATATATTTAAAAATAAATTATGTCATAACTTTTAATTTATCCCACAAAAAACAGTTGTTGCAGAATTTTTAATTCATTTTTGAGTTCAGAATCGTTTTTAATTATAAAATTAAAAATGAAAACAGTAATGGTCAAAGTGACCGCTTTGGGCATTCTAGGTCATGAAAATTTCCGGGTATTCTAGTGTTAATATCGTTCTCTACTTCGACACTTATACATCTTAAAGAAAAATGACTAGACTAACTTGATAAACAGAGAACATAATTCTTTGAGAAGATTCTTCAAAGATATTTTGTTTTGTGGAAATTAGAGAAATACTAAACTCTTTACGAGTGTATGAATTAGACGAAAAACCCAAAACCAATGTATGTTCGTCCGGCAAAAATAATAACGTAATTTTAAAACAATCTTGAAAACAAGTTTCGAATAGGTCATGTCTACTAAACTCCTTTCAAGAATTCGTGTGAAGAGAATTAGAAAACGTTTGGATTTTTACAAAATGGAAAAAGGATTTTGTAAACGGCTCTATCCCGCCTTATTATCATTGCGAGTTTCCTTAATAAAGAAACATTTTGCAGCAGTTTACCACGCAGTTATTCAGTACATAGCGTCAACTGAACGCTATAAAAAAATAACAGTAACGTGATACAGTTGAAATACATCCATTCCGAGAGAGATGCTTATAAAGTTCAGTGCGTTTAAAGTCTAGAGCAGAGATCAACACGGACCGAGTTGGACTTGGACCACAAAGTATTTTGGCCAGGTCGGGCCGAGCCGAACTCAAGATTTTTAAGCATACGTGGATTTGTAATTTATGTGTATATTCAGTGTATATTCGTTTGGTCGAACCGAGCCGGGCTTGTCCGTAACCTTTCATTCTCGGGCTGGGCTAAAAATTTTCGGCCCGTGCGGGTCTCTGGTCTACAGTATCTCACCACTTTTCTTTTCTAATTTCTGTTTACACTTTCTGATTTTTATTATTTTTAACTGATGTCGTAATATCGAACTACTCCGATTATAATAAGTTGCCCTTTTGTTGGATAGTCGAGATAGCTACTGTAATTGTGATTTCTTTTGTTATTGAATAAAGCTTACAACAAACAGCTCCAGAGTCCTAATAGGTTTACTATTTTCCAAAAGTATTTTTTAAACTTCACTTGTTATTTAGGAAGTACATTAATTTCATTTCACTCTTCTTTAATCGAATGTTATATATCCTCAATGGAAAAACAGTTATGACTCTCTATTGAGCATCTTTTATTTTGTTTTACATTGATCTTCTTCTAAATATTTCCTCTAGTATGTATGATTTTGTTAATTTTTTCTACTATATATTTTTCTCTTTCAAATCAGACGTATTCGTTGATGAAGGATTCTTTTAGTTTCGAGTTCGCATCGGTTCAGTGCAACTAAAACGTCTTCTTATTTCTCTCATCCAACGGTGAATTCAGTCGACAATAATAATGTTTTCTCTGAAGTTTTCCAGCAAACTGATGTCTGAGAAAAGATTTTTTTTCTTTATCTGACTACGGGACTGATTTGAACATAATGTTTTTTTTATTTCTTATTAGTATTACTTCAGTCAAAAATGCGACTTGTATGTTTGAACTCTGTATGGCTTATTACATGTTATTTTCTATTATTGGTATTTACCGAAGCTGCCGGTCGAATCGATATTTACGATATTACAAAGTGTCCAACACGTACGTCTGTGTAAATCTCTTCTAATCTATTTCTTTATTATTATTTTTCTTATATTTGATTTTAGTGATGAAATCAAAAGATATACGTGAAAGAATAACTGCTTATTTTATTTGTAATAAACCTGAGTTATCATCGAAAAAGCGTGGTCATCATTTCAAACATTATTTCTTACATAAACGCTGATCTCAGTTTTCATGCGTTTGTATATGTCTATAAATAGAACAATAATGATACCGAATATTGGACCAGATTAATGAAATTAATTAATTGTCGCTTTTTTATACTGTAAATTGTTGCTGTATATACATATTTTGTGTAAATTGCATTAGTTAATAAAATACTCACGATATTTTTCAATTTTATATAGTACTACAATATGAATTGAGATTTTGTTTTATTGAAATATCAATTAAACAATAGAAGTTTTAAAAACTTCTAGTGAAAAAATCTGAATGATGTCCACTCGATTCGTTCATAGGCTGGCTTGTAAATTGAAGGGGCGACATCAAAAGTTCCCAGCTTCTTCCATAAATCATTATTATAATTCTATTGAAAACTTTCTTCTCACATTGAAGATGATTTCACTGCTTAAATTTAGACATTGCCATCTGAAAATAAAAAGTATTACAATATGTAATCTATGAAATCTTAGTGCATGCGAAGAAGGTTAAAGTATTAGTCATCATATTAGTGATACCTGCTCTAGATAGACTATTTACGTCGCTTATTCCTTTGTTAAAATGTTCACTTCAAATCATCACAGATGGCCACTAATACAAAAACTAGTTATAACAATAACTTTTCCTAGTAACTATTATCATATTAATATTATGGATATCATCTCACATGATGACTCTGTAAGATGAAGAAAATAGTTTGTCCATTTCACCTATTTAATTGTACTATTATTCTTTTTCAGTAGTAAAACTGTGTACATAAATTTAGACATATTTCCCTAAATAAATAAAGTTTTATTGAGAACATTTAATAATAAGTGATTTCAAAGGTGAACTGTGTATCGGTACATATAATTAGCCACGAGCAATTTATGTCCTTGAATTATAAAGTTTTATACTATTCTAATTCTTTTTCTATTGGTAATAGGTAAAGATATCTACGTTTAACAGTTTTTTTATAAAAAAAAATCAAAAATAGTAATTAAGTGTTTTCTTGCTGTCAATTTTTAGATCTTTACATGTAACGTAAAGAATGTCAGACAGAACTTTTAGACTATAGGGAATGTTGAGTTTCTTTTTAATAAACTCCAGGTCGGAATATTGGTGACATGCACCGGTACTTATTGTTTTAATTCTGCGTTTTTTTTCATTAAGAAATTTTGCATACTGGAAAATTGTAGAGTATTTTTGATGATTCAGCCTTATAGAGGAACTATTTCTCTACAGAATAAAGTATACAGCGCTTTCCGTCTTTAATCAGTGCTCAGATAAAAATATATTTGCTAAACGTCCCACGACCAGTATCGCTTAATACTGGTTTAAATTGCTTTAATCGAGAAACGGTTGTGGTAGAAAGAAAAAAGATAAAGAGTTGTGCCATATTTCACTTTGTAGAAAAATGTTTGCTCTACAAAAATAAGCCGTAAAATGACTTGCATATTTCGTACTTTTCGGTCGTTCTGATTGAGAAAAAGACGAAAATATACCGATGCATGCCTATTGCGTAGTCTGTTTCAACTTTTTTGTCGAAATTGATCGCTACGAAGGTGTGTCATGAGAATTGTTTTTTCTACGAAGATAAAAATAAGGTCAAATTTTCTTACATTACATGTAAAGGTCTATTACACATCGAAATCGAATACATGTGGATCATACTTTTTATTTTTTTTACAAGGTCTCTCACGTGCCACTACACTATGGCATATTATGACTACAGAGAAATTCTATATGATGAGTTTCATGACCTTGTTAAAGTGGAATAACGAAACATAGGGACCAACTCCCACCACTTCTCCGTTATTCTCGACCTTTCTTTGTTGAGGATTGCAATTTAAATTGTTTTTTTTTTTGTAGTAAAAAATAAGACGGATAACAATTACGAAGGAGGATTTAACCTCCCCTTCAAATAGAAGTCCACTTCTGGATAAACATTTCACTGGAAATAACAGAGCCGGTGGTATTAGAAGGCTACCTACGATTTTCAAGTTAGACTAGAAGACCGTGCCTTCTATCCTGGAGAGAATTTATAAGGAAAGATGTACCAGTCTAGTCCGATCTGATTTATTCGACATACAGCAACTAAAACAACTTTAAGCTTTCTGCCTGACGCTGGCTTTTATTCGTTCTATCGTCTTATGGCTGTTAATATTTTTAGACTTTGAAAGTATAAAAAAAATGAATCTACAAAATTTCGGTCCTCGAGAATTACAAAATGGTACGTTGGATCGAATGTTGGAACAAGTCGGAATAGATGACGTATCAAGTTTTGTTAATAAATTTCGAAATACTGTGGAAAAGGACGTTGATCAGAAACAACAACAAGATGAAGATATGACAGTTCGAAATGCTGGACCGGGCCAAAAGTCTGGACCTGATTGGATGTCAATGGGGACGTCACTCTTTAAACAATTTGCTGGAGGAAAAGGGCAACAACAGCAAAGTAGTGGAAGTAGTGGAGGTGCTGCAGATTATCTTGAAAGTGCGCAAAAAGCATACAATATGTTTTCTGGTAAAGGTGGATCAAGTGGTAGTTCAAGCGGAGGTGGTTTATTGGATAGCATCGGTATGTAACACTTTCTCACTTTTTAATCAAACTTCTTTTTGTATTAAAGAAGGAAGAATAGAGTTTAAATATTTCATGACTTAATAGACGTTTCTTAAGGTTTCTAAATAAATTCACCGTTTTTTACTTTTTATAATTTGTGTTTCTTGCTTTTAAACTGCGTTAATTGTTTTATTTCTTCAAAATGAGAATCAACGCCAGAAAAGATTTTTCTCCATCGGATTTGTCTATCATTGCTGTAGGTGATACATACAAGAATGTGCAACAGATGCATCAGTTGTATAAATCATTCGATAAAAATGGCGATGGTAAAGTGACGGCTGAAGATTTACAGATGATTTTAACACAAATAGGCTTGGGCTCTGTTTCTCCCTATTTGGCTAAGGTAATGAGAATAGAGATTTGTTCAAACTCATCTAATTACTATTTTTATCTTTCATAGGGTCTTTTTAAAGCGGTTGATACAAATCACAATGGCGAACTTGATTTTACTGATTTGATGGCATTGACTTCTATTTTACAAAAGCTTAGCGGTCAATTTGGTGGTGGTGGTCGTGGTGCTGCTGCTGCTGGTGGTGGTGATGAAGATTTAGCTGAAGAATGAAATCTCAAAAGGCTCAATACTTAACTATTCTACTCTTTTTGCTTTTTCCTTTGCTTACTGTCATATATGTGTATTTTACAATAATCGATGTGGCTTTTCTCGCATTTTATATACATACGTCGATTTAGTTTGATTAGTAGCTTTTAATAAATGTTTATGAAACAGTCTAGCATTAAACATAATTTTATCACAAAGCTATTGATATACACATTTGTTTTATCACAATACATGATAATGCGAAAATTTTGTCGATAGATGAATATGAAAAGATCTAATGGGACAACAAATCGAACAATACTTGAGTGACGAAATTAAGTGTATACAACTGAATTCAAAAATGATCATCCAACACTGGTATTAACAATTTTCTATATTTTGATAGGACAGAGCATGGAGTACAAAGAATAATAATTGAGAATGAAAACATGATCACTTATTCTTCAATGGAAAGATCATTCTTATATATTGAACTCCTCTGTCAAAACTTCTCATTGTATTTCTCAGTTTTTTATATATTATTACGTGCCACTACATACACTTCAACACCAATAAAGTTAACGGAAGATATCTAAGCACTGAGAAAAAGTTCAAATGAATATATATGCACCGTTGTCCGACACAAACCAAAGGAGTATGATATTATAAATTAGTTTGTATGATTCTTTTCTTTTTATATGAAAGGTGTTTCCGATAAGACGGTTGGTGGTTTGGAAAAATATGTTCGAAGAAAAAAAATAAACATCCTTTGACTTTCTAGTAATTGTTACAGAGTGAGTAGACTAGAACATATTTGAAATCATTTCTATATTTTAAGCAAAGGTAGACTTTTTTTTATCAAGACTTTTTTTATCAAGGCTTTTTTTATCAAGTCTGTTTGAAGTCCAAGGAGTTAAAATTTATTATATTCAACAAAGAAATGAGTATAACCTGATACCTAATTTATTAATCTTTTTTTTTGTCAAACATACATCAGTATACAGTAAGTCCCAAAATTGTTCGCGCAAAGTGTACGACAGTTTCGTTCTTTCTATATCTCAAAGATGAAAAAAGGTCGACAGCTTTCCTTTTCAGCAGCTGGTAGTCCGTGGTGTCGTGTATATGTATGACAAGTTTTAGACCAAAAATTTAGAAAATTAAAAAAACATTAAGAATAGCATCTTTTTTTTGCGGGACCAAAATTGTCTCGCGCATGGACCTTCGAAGCATGAATTGAAAATAATATTGAAATATCATTTAAATGAGTATGATCATTTTTCATCCTTTTCTGAAAATTTATGACCGTTTCATTAGTTTACTGACAATAATTATGTTCTTTAAACAGTTTAGATCATAAGTAATAGTTAAACAACGCGCAAAAGAAATATCACATTTAGACAGACGCTTCTTAAGTTTAATTTTAAATCCACATACAAATATAATTGATCAAATTAATAATCTAGCACATAATATCTCTCTTGAATAAACATTATTTTTACTTCTCATTAAAATGATCTTTCAATACTGTCCTCAGTTCACGCAACAGAAGTTGTCATTTTTTTTGCGTAACAGTGTTCGTGCGTATCGTTTCATAATACTGATGGATATCTCAAAGTACTAATTTTATTGGAGTTTTTAGTTGACTGAGACCTTATTATATTATTGTTGTACCAAAATCGAAAAGTTTGTTTTCGAAAGCGATGCAAAATATCAGAATCAATTCACATTTTTCTTTTATTTCTTGGTCAGTATGATACCCAAGTTCGCTTTGGTAGGTAGATGATAAAGTAGGGCCACTTTATTAAATATTATATAGGATAAACTTCTGAGTATAATATATCAATCTGATCATTCGTGTAAATAAGCAGTGATTATGGTTGTCCATTGTTCTTATGAATTTTAACTATTAATAGTTGAACTGATATTTTTATCTCATAAAAAAATTTTCATTACACAGGAACATCATATTTATTTTTCCCTTCAATATCTTTCTCCGAATAATCAGAATTATGTTAGAAATACTGAAAAAATTCAAAGTGTTATCCGTAATTACCCTCAATCATTCTATGGGCTGTTATAAAGATGATCGTATTAGCGCTGGGTTTCATGCCTGTCGTATAACATATGAAAATGCAATCGAACATATAAGCAATTTACTTATTTAAATTGCCAACCTCGCCAGGTGTCCCACTCTGTTTAAGCTTATATTTTGCTGATCGATAGGGCACATTAGTGTAACAAAAAGCCTAAGAGGATTTGGGCCCATGTGGCTTCCTTCCCGTCAACTTACGAGGAACAGTATTCTACTGTAACACTGCTTTTTCAATCGTTCATACGTCGATCGATGGATAGTAAAAAGCCTAAAAGGGTTTGCGCCAATGACTCGTGAAGACCCAGTTTTCCAAAAACTCTGAGAAATATCTTGTGGAGGTGGGAGATGTCTCATTTTAATCAGAAATTTGCGAGCTATAATCATGTCTCACTAAGGAAAGGTTTTGATTAAAATGAGACATCTCCCACCTCCACAAGATATTTCTCAGAGTTTTTGGAAAACTG